GGAGCACTGGGTGTTATGCACAAACAATGAATCATGGAACACTACATCTAAAACTAATGATGTTATGTATGGGGATTAACATAAGAATAAAAAATTAAAAAAAAAATAACCATGACTCAAGACAGGAGTATTGTTGAAACATGAGAGAAGAGCTAATCATTGGAAATGAGGACTGTAACTCAGGGTAGGTGTGATTGCAGCAGTGAGGTACAGTTGAGTGTTAGAATCTGACGACAGGAAATTTGGAGTTGGTGGGGAGGAAATGGGAAGAATCACCTGGAAGCTAAAAGGAGGAACAAGAACTTACCCTATTTCCAGAGACTTGTGAGAAAAAGGAAACAGCACCACATAAGCAGCTTTTGGGGTGAGGAGAGGAAGATGGTGGCAGAGGAGGAAACCTTTGGCTCATCTTATCCCATGAACACAGCTAGATAACTAGCAAATCATCCTAAATACTCCAGAAATTGGCCTGAAGACAAATAGAACAAACTCCACAACTAAAGGTAGAGAAGAGGCCACATCAAAGAAGGTAGGAAGTGCAGAGATGGAATTTAGCGGAGAAACAGATCTCAGGTGCTGCAGAGGGATAAGGAGCCATGTTCTCAGAGAAGGGCGAGATTGAGAGGATTGAACAGGGGGATGGATGCACAAGGAAAATGTTTTCCCAAAGCCACTGGCTTGGAAAATGAGGCTAAATTCTGTGAGTTTTTGCAACCAGCAGGGCTTGAAGACTGGAGTTTTAAAGGTCAGCGGGTTTGGCTGGGATAGAGCCCTGAGGGCACTACTGTACTGCTCCTGGAGAGAAGGTAGGTAAACAATACTCAGACAGTGTGGAAACAGTGATCTAAAGAGCACCTGAGGCACACAGTGGGAAAATGATTTGCTCTTCTCAGAGGTTGTCCCTGAGAGGCAACATTCATGGAGTTGCCTCTCTGGGAGCAAAGGTGTTGGCTGGCACCATTTCCCTCCCCCACCCCTCAGCATAAACACAGAACCACTGCAGGAGGCCAGTTCAGGGGGACCACTGGCTGCCTCGTGTGCTAACACCAAGCCCTACCCCCCTGCTCTCTGGCAGGACTGCTTTTCTCAAACTTGCCTCAGTCCCAGGGCAGCAGGCCCCTCCCCCCAGAAGACAAGCACAAACCCCTGCCCACACCACATCCCCTGACCAGAGAGTTCTGCAGGGACCCAGTTATTGTGGAGTTTGTGTCAGGTCTCATTTCACAAGCAGACCAGAGCACACCTAGTTAAAACTTGCCATATTCTGGCCAGGGACCAAAAACTGCCCACAATAGGCAAGGAGAACCTCTGCAAACAATTGGCCTGAAGGATAGAGCAGCCAAAACACAAGAGCAGAGTATATGCAGCACATACCTGAGACACTCCCCAAAGCACAAGGCTCTGGGCACCTCATGACCTCTTCATTAGGCCATTATTTTCAGAATGAGGAGACCATAACTGGCTTTTCAAATGCAGAGAAGGCGGCAGAAACTTAGACAAAATGCGAAGACGGAGGATTATATCCCAAATGAAAGAACAATGTAAGGCCATGGTCAGAGATCTAAGTGAAACAGATATAAGTAACATGCCTGATGGAGAATTCAAAGCAATAATCATAAGGATAATCACTTGGCTTGAGAAAAGAATAGAAGACATCAGTAAGACCCTTACAACAGAGATAAAAGAGTTAAAAAAGAATCAGAGATGAAGAATGCCATAAACAAGATTGGAAACAGCCTTGAGGCAATGAACAGCAGGCTGGAAGAAACAGGAATAAATTAGTGACCTAGAAGACAAATTAATGGACAATATGAAGCTGAACAAAAGAGAGAAAGAAGAGTTATGGAACACGAGAATACACTTAGGGAACTCAGGGACTCCATCAAACATAATAACATTCATATTATAGGAGTCCCAGAAGAAGAAAGAGAAAAGGGTGCAGAAAATTTATTTGAGGAAATAATAGCTGAAAACTTCCCTAATCTGGGGAAGGAAACAGACATCCAGATCCAGGAAACAGAGAATTCCCATCAAAATCAACAAAAGCAGGCCAACACCAAGATGTATTGTAATTAAATTTGCAAATTATAGTAATAAAGAAATAATCTTAGGGGCGCCTGGGTGGCTCAATTGGTTAAGCGTCTGCCTTCAGCTCAGGTCATGATCCCAGGGTCCTGGCATTGAGTCCTGAATTGGGCTCCTTGCTCAGCGGGGAGCCTGCTTCTCCCTCTCCCACTGCCTGCCATTCCCCCTGCTTGTGCTCTCTCTCTCTCACTATCTCTTTCTGTGTGTGTGTCAAATAAATAAATAAAATATTTTAAA